GTTAAGTGGTGGACATTGATTTTAAGATGCTATTAAATTTTGTACATTTCCAAGATCCTGAATGATACTAAATCGTTTCAATTGCTAGCTCTTCAAATGTATTTTTGAACATTTTCTGGGTATTTTTATATGTACATAAGTTAAAATCATGATTGCATGTATAAAAAGAAGTCAAGGGGAAAAAAACAAGGTCCAACCCCTGTGGCAGCTTAATATTAAGGTTGGGTTTGGTATATGGCACTGGGTTCACGTGTTTTTACAACAGATGTATAAAAGATGTCTTTGCCTAACTGGCGCTTCTGAGTATTGTTAAAGTATTAATACAAAATAACAATGGTAATAATGAAGGACTGCTTTTTTTATCGCCTTTTTGTTACAGAACAAACCTGGCCAAATACACAGGAGACCCTCCTGACTACATGGAAAATAGTGGCGTTTACTGCTACCAGTGTTTTATTAGTACTGCTACTGGTCATTTTAGCCAGGATGTTCCAGACCAAATTTAAGACACATTTCCTTCCACGGTTTGTACTGTTTTCTATTACCTTTTGAAGATTGAGGGCCTTGATTCAGTTTTCACATTGAGCACTCCTTGCTGAGGAGATGGAGCAGCTCACGAGCCTGGCAGAGACCTCCTGCTTCTGCTCTGAGCAGAAGTCTCTGAACCACTGGTGTGGATAGGCACCCCCAAAAACCCTGCAGTGGTGCTCACTGCAACTGAGATAAAAGGCAGAGTTTGCCAGATTCACGTTGGGAGTAATTACAGCTCTGCTGCTGAGAATTGCTGCTTCTGCATAGTAGAAATAGCTGGCAATATTTTTAAATACTCATTTTCAGGTGCTGGGGGACTTAATGTTTTAACTACTGTAGACTTAGTAATGTGAGTTTTAAGAAAGAATTTCTTTTTTCTCTACGGACAAATTTATATTAAAAGTTTGCTTTCTCTTCATGAGTATTACTTTCATCATGATTCATAAACATTTCCTACATCTTCCTTTATTCCTATCAAACACCAAGCAGCTATGAGCATTTGTCATTGATTCTCACAGCAGCCCTCTTAAGGGGTGGGTATTATTATCACCATACGGCTGGAAAAACAAAGGCAGGCATGCCGAGTTTTAGGCAAAGCTAGTACTCTATTGGGGTTCAGACCCTTTTCTACTTTTCACTCTGCTCAGTTTGCAGTGGACCTCGACCATGTGACCTCTCTCCTGCGCTTGCTTTTTGTCGTGTCTTTTATTCTACCATGTGCAGAAAGGAGAGGTGGAAAAAGCGGAACGTCAGTAAACATGTCTACATGCCAATGCAGCAGAAAGGACTTCACCATCTTAATGCTAAATAAGCATGTGTACATAGAAGTATACAGATTATATAAGTAATGTATAAATGTTTATATATATGTGTGCATATGTACAATATACGGATAGTAGTACATATGCATATGCATATACATACACATACCCATCTATGAAGCTCTTTGGGGCAGTGGGTTGCACTACAGAGAGCTTTATAGCCTGCACTTTCTAGCTTACTGAAATGGCTTTCTGTCTTCTCCTTTCCAGACATTTTCATGTCGCAAAGGTACCTGGGACCAATTCCCTCCCGTGATTTAACTGGCTAGTTATAAACAAATACTTTAGGGTTTAACAGACCTTCCCAATTAATGTTTTGTTAAAAAAAGAAACCAGCTTATTACTGGTTAAGGAAGCCTTCATCCTTTGAAAGTAAGACCTGAAGGAGGCCACAGATCTGGCCACCAAAGCCCTGTCATCCAGTAGCAATCATCTCAGTGTCTGTTTACATGGGTTGTAAACACTTCTGTGCTCTAGCACACATCCTTCCAGGGGTTCAGACACTTCTGACTGGTGAACTACATCTGTGATCTTACATCCATGACACCTACTGTGCACAGCAAAGCAACCGGTGCTTCTTACCTCTTCCAAGCACCCTTTTTCCCCCCCTTCTCAGAATTGTTCTTCACATTAGTGGTTTCATTTCTCCAGTTGTAACAGATTCCACCTGACTGGCAACCCGAGCAGAGCTTTGCAGCCCTGTGAAGCAACCATTTCTGTGAATGTTAATGACCTTGTAGCTTTGTTTTGCATGACTAGAAAGTGCTGTGTTTACTTAAGTTCAGCAGTTACTCCGAGGTGCTTCTGACATGCTCCTGCTCTCTGTGATAACTCATCTGTGTTTGACGTAGAGGCAACCAGGAGGGCTCCATGGGTGACCCCGACTTTGTGGTGGTGGATGGTGTTCCTGTCATGCTGCCTTCCTATGATGAAGCTGTGAGCAGCGGCTTGAATGCTCTGGCACCCGGATACTCAGCTACCGCAGACCAGGGGCATATTTTGCAGACAGAAGACCAGAACCCTCCTGCTTACCCCGGCCCCAGGATTACAGACACGCTGCCTAGTGAATCTGAGACCTGTGATAACAGGTCAGACTCCTCTGAACTGCTCCAAAGCTTGTACCCATCCCAGGCATGCCAAGCGGCAGCACTTCCTGGTTCAGATAGAACTGATGTACCCCATGGCACTGCTGGGGAGGCTGCGTCCACGAGTCCACGCATTGATATTGCAGATGGTGAGTCTTGCAAAGGTGCAGTAGGTGAGTCCATAAACAGGAGCCATCATTCATTTGTATGGTCAGAGCAGGAATAAAGCCGGCTGATTTGCTCGGTTTTGTCCACATCTAAATGTGGATGTTTTTTAAACCATACTACTCCATGGTCATATAGCTTCGTGTCTGTGATATCCTTTCTAGCTGTGGTGCAACGATTTGAATCCTAGACCAGAAGCTTCCTGTCCAGACCCCAAAACAGCAGTCTTATCAACTGGGATATCAGCAGGCACCTGTGTACAGCAGCAAAGCCAACCATCATCTTGCCTATGTTGGTCTGTTCATCTGCTCCTCAACTCCTATGCTCGCTCACATGCCGTAGCTTTCACAGCAAAAACTAGGATTTTCTCCTTAAAATGGAAAGCAAATCATGTTTTCATACTGAGCCAAAATTAGCTTTTTTATTAACAAACTTCTTATGCCTATGTGTACAGCAACTCCTCATCTGAGGCATGTACACGCTAAGCCATGGCCATGGGAGTCACAGCATAAGGCACCCACAGGACCCTGTATGACAAGGGAGATTGCCATATACTATTGTCTGCATTTAAACTGAACATGAGCATGCACTGATGCCAGTTCTTTTGAGTTCTAATGGAGCTGTATGGTGTGCTGCTCAGTGTGCTAAGGAAACTAGATTGCTTTCCCTGGAGACATTTTGAAGGAGTGGCTCTGATCCTGCTCTCCACAGTTACTAGGCAAAAAGCTGAAGCCCAGTGTCTTGAATTCAGTGTGGGTAAAGGTCCAGGTGGAGGAAGTCCTTCTTCATAGGGTCAGGGCTAATTTTTACTGATATGACAAAGGGAAGAGGACTACTAGGAGGAGGAGGGAGAAGTTACAGTGATGCCAGTAAAAGTCCCTGCCTCCTCTGAATGCTGTTTCAGTGATTAACATAAGAAAGGATGCTTGCAATTAGGTTTTTGTAGGCCTGGTTTGTTTTATTAAATCTAGATAGTCTTAGAAGGTTAATTTTCATCTAAGTGTTAGAGCGGGTCTAGAATTACTGATATCATATGTCTTGTTCAGACTTTTGCAATGTCCATTTGTAGCATTGCTAATATGAATGTCCTGCAACAGAATAAAGGGAAAATACAGTCAGCAATCAATGCTATTTCTTTTTTTCCCCTAGAGATTCCTTTGATGGAAGAAGACCCTTAGCCTGCGCAGAGACCGGTCTTCGTCGAATTGCACTGTTGAGTGATGTGAATCATGAGCATCTAGAGATAGAAAAGACTATCTGTGGATTTGGGGAGGGCTTTTTCCTACATATCAATCTTCCATGTGATGATGTCACCAGGTTAGGTGTACATCTTAATCCACAGCAGGGATAAGAGCATCAGCATTTGGAACAGCAGCAGTTTTATGAATGAATCCTGGGGATTTGATGTGAGCAGATGTAGAAAAAGAACTGTGGCTTTTTAGAAATGAAATGTATCTCTGCATCGCAGAAAGTCATATGGTTCTGTAAGAAATGCTATTGGATTTTGATACTAACTGCCTCAGCATGTCAAAGTATGTAAATTTGCTTATAAAGACTGCTTTAAATGAACTATGGACCTCTAGTTTATGAAGAATCCTTACACGTAAAAAAAAATACTAGTACTGAAACACACAAAAAGAGGAAAGATCCTCTTTGGCTTTCCTACAGTGACCAGGAAGCTTTTGATTTAGCTGTTGGTGATTTTGTTTCAGACCATGTCTGCAGAAAATATAACAGAGATGATGGGATTCATATATACTTTGATGTATGATAGCAAATATATATAAATATATATATATTTAAAAACTCTTAAAGAGAAAGAAAAGGAAAGACTCCAAGGTCACATAATGATCTGGAGATTTTTTTAAAGGCAAGGCAGAATTTATATCCTATTCAATATTCAAGGTAAAGTATCGGTATTTGTATTTATGCAAGACTTCTGTGACTACATTGCATTTGATAAATCCTGCTATAATATCAGAGATCTAGAACATGTCAAACTTACTAAAATACGTGCTTAAGAAATGTTGAAGTGCCCTGTTTCAACCTTTCTTAAGCTCTTACAAAATATACATATATATATCAGAGTAATCTACAGTCATAGCCCAGAGCACTGCCTTGTCCCTCTACGTTGTGGTAGTATTCTGAGCCATTATTGTAGAATACTTTTTAAAGAAACAATAAAGTTCCGTTTCAGTTCTTTTGACTTACCTGACTGTGTGTAGTTGGCCTTTCTTTCCTTCCTCACATTTTCAGTTTTACATTTATTACCCTGCTAGAAATGGAGAGAGTGCTTTTGGTTAAGCAGAGCACAATGAAATGGGTGAAGCAGTGGTGCGGCTTCTGTAGATGCTGCATGGCTTTTCTCTCCCCTACATGCGACACCAGAGCATTGACCTTTGTGGTGTTACAGGCTATTCATCATTTGTCAGGAAAAATTCCTGGCTGCTTCATACACTTACTGAAAGCCAAGCACATTTCCTTGACTCATTTTGGGTATTGCGCAAAGGAAACACATGTTAAAGTGGCAGTGTTTGAAGGAAGAACTCGGCGTATGCTAATGATAAGGATTGTCATCATGTGGGCCAATCCAAAGGAAAGGATGAGACTGCATTCTGATTTTATGTACAGAGTAAGCCAATAGTATTTCTATTGCCCTAAAGAGAGGATTGCTACGAGTTGCTCTGTTATGTTTTCATGATTGTTTTATTATTCATTGGTGTTGTGGTAGCATCCAGTGGCCTCACTCATGAGTCAGGCTAGTAGAATGATGGATGTGCTGCACCCATTCAAGAAAGTGTTCTATTAGCGTCCTGTCAGCAACTGTATATGACAGCAAGATGGAAATGGAGACCAGAACTGCGTGATGGAGAGGCAATTATTACAATAATCTCAGTTATTCTACGGTATCATTGATGAGAATGTAGTGATTGGTATTGAAAGATAAGACATATTCCACATTTCCTCCATGCTTGCTTACTTAAGGTTTGCATTTTTAATGCTGCAAGTGTCTCAATTGCAATCATATCATTGGGTTTATCCCAGAGCCGTATTTATTGGGCACTAGTACTTTATTTTCTACCCATTCCTTTTCAGATCCCATGGTTTCCAGAGATTTTTCCACTGTCAGTTAAAGTTCAGAACAGTCTCCCCAGCAAAAACAAGACAAGAGTGCTGTAATACCTTTGAATTGAAGCACGTCTCAAGCCTACAGTCAGTTAAGTGATTTTTGTTTCATAATGTCATTGAAAAGTATTGAATTTACTTGAGATGCACTATAAAATATTATGAAATCTGTCTTTGCTGGGTTTTTAACAGCTTGTGAAATTTCATTCCTTATTAAATTTCTAGACTTCCATTTATTAATTTCTGTTATGAAGGATTTTGATTAATATTGGGAGCCCTGCGGTTTTACAGTTTTATACTGCTGTATGTATTGTATTGCAGTTATTTTGCTAAGGGAGCCAGACAGGGTAACTTAAGAAATGTAAATTTATGGCTTATTAGACCACTTTTATTTTAGCAAGTGCACAACTGCAAATACACTAGAGAACATTGATGTATTAATATTGCTTGATAGTCCTTTGATAGCACCATACCAAATACAACTTGCAAAGGCAAAAGAGAGATTCTTAGCATTTTTTGTTTATGATGTGTAAGACTTTCTGAAAGGGTGTTATGGGGGGATTACTTGTGTGGTTGGGTTTGGGGGTTTTGCATGCTTGGGTTCGGGGGGGAAGGAGAGGACTGTTTCTTTATTTCTCCACGCGGGGCTTGAATTCTCATGAGTGGTCTGCCTACCCCAGATGCGCGCCTGTGTATGGACCCACAAGCTGATGCCCCACAGCCTGCCCAGCTCCCTGGCCACCTCAGATCAACCTCAGTGTTCTCTCAGCCTTGAGAACCCCGCAGCTCCCTGGCCTAAAAGCTCAGATCAACATTGCACACACCCCAAAGGCAGCCAGACCTTGAGGAGGGCGGATGCTCTTAGCACCTCGAGAGACCAGGGAGCTGGTAAGATCATGTCAGCGTGTTTGCCGTGCAAATGAAACCAGATGGGAGGATGAGCTTGTCTTACGCAGATCATAAGCTGTTTTCACTGGAGATAACTGGATGTGAATAAAAAAACAAGCCCAGGAAACCCTCATTCGTGAAGGGAGAATGTTGGTGAAGACAACCCACGTGCCTTCAGCAGAGGGAGGAAAGAGTGCATAATACTGAGAACTCCAGGAAAGACAAACAAGAGCTGGATTCACCCTGCCAATACCTCTGAAAATGAAAAAGGAGGAGGAGAAATGAGCAATGCGTCAGCCTTCAACACTGACTTATGAACGAGGGCTTGACCTGCAGAGTGCTGGGGGAAGGATGGGGATCCAAGGTCTCACAGCAGCGCTGCAGGGAGTGAATCACAACCTGAGCATGAGTCAACAGGACCTGGCTGATGTGAAAATGTCAAATATCAATACGAGGGTGTTTACGTGGAACTGTAACTTATAAAATGCATGAAGCAACTCTTCAGCTCCACTCAGCACTAGTGAGGCCTCAGCTGTGTCTAACATTGAGCAGATTTTTCTCCTCTTCAAGGGAGATGTGCAGCAGCTGGACAGGAGCCAAGCAGAGAGAATCAAGAGTTATTAGAAGTCTGAAAGAGCCTGTCCTCACAGGTTATGACAGAGATTATTTATGACAGATTAAGACAGTGTTCAGTGTGAACAACAGGAGACCAAAAGGGACACAGAAATGCAGTTTGCTGTAAGAAGCATATTTTGCATAGAAGAAGAAATTTATCCATAGAAGTAGGACAAGAATAATAGGCTTAATCGCAGCTTGAGAGAATTAGGTTAGATATTAGGAAATCACTCTAGCCACTGGCATGAAGCAATGGTTACAAGCAGGGAGAGTGTCAAAAACCTCTTGTTATGAGAGATTTTAAATAAACAAGGACTAGGAAAACACTGAGGTGAGATGCACTACATGAGATCTGGGGCTTCTTCTCATTCCATTCCCAATACCTGAGAACTAAATTTGGCTGATGCACTATTGGGATTAGTCTATATGGATTCTTTCCATATAGACTAATTCCAAACTGATGGTACTGGGCAAACTGGCCAGCAGTCATCAAAATGACAGCCAGAGACACTGCCTATTCCACCAATAGTAGCTTTTCGTGTTTCATGGGCTGAGCTCCAGTAAAATCCTGTCAATTGAACCCTGTTGCATTAAAGCGACATTAATTTCAGAATTCTGTCGTGTGACAACTCCAAATTTGGGATTTTCTGGTCTTCGTGTCTGTCTTAGGCAGCGAAATGAATGCCGCCCTTCTGATACGCTGTGTGCGTTAGGTGAAGTAAATCCTCTCTCAGCAGTTATCTGAAGACACCTATTGAGCTCAAGGGAAAACAGCAGCTCAGGCAGTGGAGCGCAGAGCCCATTGTCCTGTTGATGCAAAACTTGCTTCCTGTGCCTCAAAAGCTGTAAGTACAGCTTACAACATCAGCTGTCAGAGGAGGAGTACCACAGATGAGAGAAGCACGTCTCAGGCTCCTGCTCTTGGTCTCCCATGGATTCCCAGAGAGGACATGGGAGCAGGGAGAACTAGAAAGCACATAAACATCTGCCCCAAACCCAGGAGCATCTCCTACTGTCAAGGGCAAGTTCAGTCCCTTCAACACAGTTCCCAAAGGAATTGCACTACGGCAGAGGGGAGGCAGTAAGGCAGAGGGGTGGTACACCCTGCTTTGCCTATTGCTCTCCCGAGCCAGGCTCTGCAGCCAGAATAGACAGACAAATCCTTCTCCTCCAAAATAATGTATATAACTTCCTTCATGCATTAGAGATATCTCTTGTCACTACCACTACATAGAAGCATACAGCTCATTCTCCCAGCCCTGCCTTTTCCAGGAAAGATAAACATAACATAAATAACATAAAGATATGTTATTTAAGAGTAACAGAGGGCATTAGCCTGAGATTAAATTATTTGCTGTCCAGGTGTCAGAGCAGACACATAGTTCACACAGACCCTATCACAGAAATTGGACATTAGGGTGACTGGGATTCTTGAGGCAAAGGGACTGTGCTGCAGGGCAGGGAGAGCTGCTACATGAGGGTTTGTAACCCAAAAAACCTGGGTTTTCCTGGTATAATAAAGTACATTAAACAGAAACTTGGAGGAGGAAGAAGAAGACATTTTAATAAAGTCCAAGGGACACGGATAAGTTCCCCATTGTTCCCCAGTAAGAAGAGAAGGAGCTGTTTTCTTAATAGAACTGGTTCAAGAGGAAGTCAAGAGGCAGAGAAGGAAGAAAAGCTTCCTGGACTGAGGGTCCAGCAGCTCTTTTCCATCACCTCTGCATTTCAATGGTCAGACTGGTTCTGCTTGCAATAAAGGGCCTTGGTTTTGATTTGGATCCACATTTTCCATTTTACTGTGTTTGCCTTCTGTTTCCCCTCTTCTTATCCTTCTACTCTGTTTCTCCTTGGTTTTATTGTAACTAATACTATTGTTCCACTTTATCCTGCCACCACAGTCATGCTGGGAAAGTGAAACAAGTTGCTTAATTGCAGTGCTGCACTCAGCAGGACATGTCCCCTCCCTCACAAGAGGTTGCTCTTATTTGCCTTCCTCATTTACAGTCTCAGCAGAGAGGACAAGAAGGGACATGTTGTTCCTCACTCTGCTGTCAAATGGTCCATGAAAATGCTTAAAGAGGGACACTGAGGGGAGCCCACATTGCTACATGCCCCGGTCCCAATGCTGTCAGCTCATGATCTTTCATTGGTCCATATTCACTGCTGCACACAGATGCTCCTATACAAACACAGATATTGAAGAATCAGCTAATATTTCAGGGTGCTTCAAGGTAAGACATTTTAAAGAGACCCTCATTCCTGAAACTGGTGAGCTCACAGCTTCAGAAAACGGGTGCTGGCACAGCCCAGTTAGGGAACACAAGGGTGCACAGCAGGCTGCTTCATCTGTCCGCTTCCTGGTGCTCCAGTATGAGCCTCTTGTCCCTGGGATAACTGCTCAAACCAAACAGTTGCGGTTTCTAAGCTGTCAGGTCCACATCTCCTTTTTTTCCAACCTAATTAGGCCAGATTTATTTTTAACGCTCCTTGTTACCATCCCCTTCTGACTTCCATCCATCTACTGCTGAGTACATGCTGCTCTTGCCAAAGCAAGTGTCTTTCAGCAGCTATCTCAGCCCCCCTGGAACCGTACCACCCTGCGGGAGATCGCGCTTGCCACTGTTGTCCCTGCTATTAATTCCATGGCAGCACATGCTGTTCGTTTGCCTTGTGCAGTGCTCTCGTGTTAATAACCGTGCAACCGGTTGTTATTTTGTTTCATAACCATTACCATTGCTGCCTGTTGTTGATAATTCAGGGTTAATTACTCACTAAAAAGTTTAGCAGAGCAATTTAGCTTTGCTTAGCCTGTTTGCTGATGAAGACTCTAAATGTCTGCAGTCTATCACTGATACAGATGTTACTGGAGTTCTGTATAATTGGCTTTTACTGCAGCAAAAACAAGGTTTAGTCCAACTGGCAAGTCAGCTGCCTGCTTGTACACACATACTGCTTGGGTTTCCATTGGATTTTGGGCAACCAGCTGGGAGGAGAACTGCCGCAGTAACTTACTAGGTTCAATTCTGTATCTTTGCAGCAGTGTGCAGCATAGGAGCAGCTACAGAAGTGCTGAAGCTCAGCGTTAAAAAGGACATCATGGCAGCTGTGAAGAGTCCAGCAGCACAAGTAGGTTAATGGTGCTGGTGTGATCTGTCACAGATACACCTTACTGAAGACTGACATGCCTACGACAAGACTTGGATGATAATGGTCTGTCTGGTTTATGGAAAAAGTGAGGAAAAAATTGCCAAGCAGCAGCATTAAACCAATGGTGCCTCTCCGGTCAGTTTTCTCTGGTCTGGCTGTCTCCTGTTTCCTGAAGTTTTGAATCTAGGAGCTGTTACAGACAGAAGGTTTGGGATATATGCACTGCTCTCAGTTTCCAGTGAAATGGATGGGAACTGGGACACTTTCAGCAGCAAGCTGCTTCTGACCATGCACTGGGAGTCCCCATCTCCTGATACCCAGAAGCAGAAGAAAGGCCATGTGCTGCCATCTGAGGAAAGGTTGGGTTTAGCATTATACTCCTGTAGAGCAAAACTGGATCCTGGAAACTCCACCCAGCTCTCTGACTTTACTTGCATTACACTCTTTGTAGTGAATTGAGGCTGACTGGACTGGGTGCTCTGCGGTATTCTGCATTCATTTAAGCCTTCACAACACAGACAGAATGGCTGCTCTGGCCATTGCCAAGCAAGTGAAAGCAAGATGTTCTATCGGGCACTTTCTATATCCAGCACACTGCTGTCTTCATCTTTGGATGCCTGAGTATCCTAAACATGCCTGGATATCTTACTATTAAATTATGAGTGAGAAACTGATTAATTGTTCCCTGACCTTCAGTTTCTTCATTGAGACTGTGTCACCAAACAATATTTTATGTCACCAGGAGACAGCAGATGTAAATCAAATATCTGCCTGCTCCAGAATATCTAACAAGGGAGGAAATTACTTCCATCCGTTAACACAGCAGATTTTAGAGAGGATTTTCTGCCTTCCAAATTCAGTTTTAAAATGCAGGCTCACTGCACAGGCACAGGTCTGCCTGTTGGTGTCCAGCACAAGGGGCATTGCCTCAGTTTGCCTGCAGCACTGGCAAGAACAACCTGCCGCTGTCTCCCATCGTCTAAATGTTTTTTTATGACTATGTAAATTAAAAACTGTAAGTGAAAATATCCAAGATGAATTTAGGTTCTGGGTTTCTCTAGAAGGAAATGTAGCGGGTATCCTTTCTCAGTAAATTCTAACAGAATAAAATATAACATATAATAAATTCTCAATAAAATCTAATTCTCAATAAATCTCTTCATCGGGGACTGTAGCGCTAGGACAAGAGGTAATTGGTTCAAACTGAAACAGGGGAAGTTCAGGTTAGATCTAAGGAAGAAGTTCTTTACTGTAAGGGTGGTGAGGCACTGGAACGGGTTGCCCAAGGAAGTTGTGAATGCTCCATCCCTGCCAGTGCTCAAAGGCCAGGTTGGACAGAGCCTTGGGTGACGTGGTCTAGTGTGAGGTGTCCCTGCCCATGGCAGAGAGCTGGAACAAGGTGATCTTAAGGTCCTTCCCAACCCAAACCATTCTATGATTCTAAATTAAATGATAACTCAACTGGCTCTAAAGAAGGCTGTCCCCCATGCACTTCACTTCTGCTGTCCAAGACTGAACATGCAGTAAGTAGAGAGGGGACTTTCTTCCCCAAATAATTAGCAAGAAATGACAATGGGCCTTGGATCTCTGAGAGCACCCGTGATTACAGCACATAACATCTGCATACCTTAACTGGGATGCCAATGCCTTTGCATGCAATGGGGAGAGAGCAGTGCTCTGCCCCCCATGCCATCTTGTGCCCCTACTTTGCTCAGGTACGCTGGGCATAGCAGCCCCCACTGAACCTGGTGCATTTACCAGGTGCCCTGTGGCAGTGCTTTGTAAGTTCTTTCCCTTGTTTTGTCCTTTTAGGTTTTTGCATCGGCAGCATTCAACACTACCAGTTCACTCTATTAGCATGGTCTTTGGGCTCAGCTGTATGAGGCAGTATTTTCAACTCGCATCAGCTCCAAAGCAAGTGCAAAAAAACCCCAGTAACAACAACAAAAGGACTTAGAGGAAAAAAAAATCAAGCTCAGGACTAGCCTTGTTGTTGTGCTGTCCATGTGCATTCATTTTTCAGTTCAGATTAGTCATGCACTTAAGGGATAGGAAGTTCACAAAAGGGCAGCCAAATCTCATGTTCAGAACCGGGGCGCTGGAAGGAAAAACCAGCATGCGAACCAGACAAATACGAGCCCACGATTGCATTGAAATCTCAAAGGTTAATGCAAGATGTGTTCAGAACTGCTTTTGGTGGGGAAAAAAAGCCCAGCCTGTGCCATGCAATTACACATTAAAGCTCTGTGGAAAAGATTTGTTTACTGAATGAGAAAGGCACACACGCCAGGCTGCTGGGCCGAGAGTCCTGTGCAATCATCACAGGCTGCAACACAAACACAACAGTCTGAAGACCTTTGACATTTGATGAGTGCTTTTCTCTTACAGAGTGAGGTGAGTTTGGACCTTAAAAGGAAAATGAGCTAAGCTGCTTTAATTAGTAGGGCCAGAGAGAAAGAAATGAAGAATGACTCTGGAGAGAGGTAAGTACATGCAAAAGCTCGCAGGGAAACTGATGCCAAGCAGATTGGAATAAATATCAACTATAGATGGACTCATGCGTGCAGATGCCAAAACCAACTGTTTCTATGTAATTCCAAAAAGGAAATGCAAAAGAACTTCAAAAGCACAAATCTGTGATAACTGGGAAACACTCTACTTGAGTATATTTACCTATTGGCACGGTCATAAAGAATTGATTCTGCTCTCTCAGAAACAACAGCTGTTCACTGCTTAAGGCTGTTACTGGATTTGCACCATGTAACCTAGCACAAAAGAGACCCAACTTTATGCTATTGTGGCCCATCTGTACTGGGCCTTGATCCACACAGCTCCGTCAGTACGATTAGTGGTGAGCTAGCCAGCAACACTAGTGACAAATGTGACTAGACAGAAAGTTGTCTCAGATGCACAAAGAAAATGAAAAATACCAGCAATCTGTGGGGCTATTTTCAGGCAAATGTGATTTGTGAGGTGGTGGTTGCTTCACAGGCAGCGAGTCACGGAAGCTTAGCCTCTGCAGCATCTTCCTTAGGCAGCACTTCCCATAGCAGTATCAGGTGTAGATAAGAGCAGTGTTTTAGGGCTTGTGCTGATAGCACAGTGAGCAGAACCTGCTGTCAAGCCAGAACAGGTAGGGAGAACACAGGCCATACGAAAGGGAAACACACTTCATGTCAGAAAGGTTGGACTCTCAGATGCGGATGAAGCCAGAAGCAGTGTGACATCCTGCCCCATGTTACCCGGCATAAAAGCAGGAGTGGAAGCAGCACTGGTTGAAGCTTGGCTACACTGGGCATCAAGTGAGATGGAATGAGATGCAGCACAACTGCTGTATCTTTCTATCCTGGTATTCTGGTATAAAGACTTATTTAGGTTATTATTCTGATGCCTGCAGGAATCTTCCCGTATGAAGAAGCAAATGTTTTTTCTCTATTATATGCTTTGTTAATAAAACACTTTGAAGATTCGTAGGTTAACATTCCTGGGAGCGCAAGAAGTGATGTGCTGTCTTTATGCTCTCCTCATGCTTTGTGTTTTTGAGCAGTACAACATGACATGTTGCAATTCATCTGTCATTTTCACATTTGGAGAAGTGGTCAGAATGGAGCAATCCAGCCCTGTCAGCTGAATGCACTGTTGCTAACTGACAGATGTCTTGAGTGCAACAGGAGGCGTGAAGCTGTTGTGGAGGCGCTGACTTGTAAACCCCAGTTGCGTGCAGAACCTTGGCATATTGTCAGCATGTACAGCTTTCAATTTCAAGGGACATTTCCTTTGGTGTTACCCGTGAGTTTTGTTTAACCTTCATCTTCCCTTTTTGTTAACGCTGCAGGAATTATTTCTTGGGGCTGTCTCCTGTCTTACTTCATGCTGCATGTGCCCTGTGATTCCCAGGGGGTTCTGTGGGTATAGACCTGAGCTTACACCAGTGCAGTCACATACAAATAGCAGACAATGCAATAGCATGAAAGCTGTCACAGGCCATTTTACTACAGCCCCAGTGTTTGAAAGGTTAGCTAGTTAATTTAGTTCTTATAAAATCACGTTATTTGCACAATACAGGGAACAGCCACCTGGCCAGCAGGTGCTGCCTAAACAAAGGTCTCCTCCTACTCTTGAGTGTCCCCAAGGGGAAGCTGCCCCTGCATCTGGCTGGCCTGGCAGCAGAGCCCAAACTAGGGGTTTGCCCTCTACATCTGTGGAGGGCAGACAATCCAGGGCTGTCTTTCATATTTTTTACCGATCTATGTATTTATTTTCAAGCCTGGGATTACATTTTCCTCGTACAACCCACTCAGAAATTATCCTTTGGCATGTTTTTACCTTATTTTTAAGAATCCAAAGCAGGGAAAGCACAGCCCTGAGCCTTTTTGCCGAGATCCAACCGTGCTAATTTCAACAGATGACACCAGCTTCAACGTGTGTTAAAATGAAAACATGGACATTCTCAAGCTAAAATGTAAGATATTGAATTCTTCTTATGTTGAGACTGATGAAACACTTTCTTCAGTTGATCAGACTTTGCTCAGTTAAACCTTACTCGTCTTGCTTGTCTCCTTTGCTCAAATTAACACAGACATATTTGTAATTGAACTCAGTGGTAGCCAAGGCTATAAAGGCATATAAATGGAAAAACCTGCCTCTCCAAAGCCTGCAGTCTCACTAGGAATGAAGCTCACAGAAGCACATTCAAATCAAAATCAATGCTACCTGCACCAGCAAGAAAATCACTTGCAGAGGCTCATTCTGGAGCCTTCACTATGCACAAAGAGAGAATAATTATCTTTGTCCACAGAGCAGATAGAACAAGAAAGGCTAAATTTCTACATGTAAAACTGTTGAGTTCTCAGCCTTGACAAAAGCTTTCTGAAACACTTCAGTAATTCCCCACATACTCAACACACCCCACGCTGGCTGTTGTTGCTGCTGTTAGGCTGGAGGTTTATGGAGGAGATCACAGATTTCCCTATGTTTGGTGTGAAATCCAGGTGGGGGAAAATAAAAATCAAGTAATTCTTGGTATTTAATCTGTTAATTCTAACTGAGACTCGTGACATAAAGGAACTTAATGCCATCACCTATGCAAGATATAAAATACGTGTCTCCAGAAATAGCAACCTTGTTGCAGTGCTGATCCTATGTGGGTGGGAGCCTGCTTTTAGAAGGAGCTTGTGCGAAATGCTCATGTATTTCACCTGCCTTTTGTTCACACTAGGTGAGCCCAGAGGTACGATAAGACACAGATTTGGTAAGTATCTTACATGTAAGAAATCAGTAATTTGATGCATTAATCACTAGAGTGCAATTATAGACCTTAATTTAGGAGGCGTTAGTCCTTTGCCATAGGTAAGCTTCAGTGGCTATTAGAATTTCATAGTCTGAGTTCACTGCAACTGGCAAATGTTGTTTGCACAACCAGCACACACAAGGGCCTGGTTTTTGGCTGGAAGCACATTTTTTCACTATTAAATCCACTCCATTAAATACAAGTGAGCACCTGTTCAGGCCTCATTTCAATAAAGATTATATCCCAGTTGCATTTTAAGGGGGGTTATAAAGAATGCACATTATTAATGTCTTTTATTAGTATGTTTAAAAGGGAATGGGATACACTGGAAATATTACAAGCACATCAGTAGAAGACATCGTAGCTGGTGATAAACCGTGGCAATAAATAGCCTACTGACCTGTTGCAGTCCTTATCAAAATATGAGGCAAATGACTATTTGTCACAAAATCTGTTAAAGCTTTTACAGACACTCCATAAATAAAACCTTCATATATAGTATGTTCTTGAAATGAGTAATGTGATTAAAATTAGGTAGCTACATGCTTGATTTCAAGCAGCTGCATAAATCTAGGACACGGTAAAATTCTGTGCATAATTGTTCCTAATTGTTGATGGTTTCATGTGGAGAGTGGAGAGGATACACTTTCTTTTCCCTCCTTCCTAATCCATTACAGTATCTACTAGGTGTCTAGCTCACCCTGTGTGTGGGACTTGCATAAGATAATGGAGGAGCAACAAACATCTCTCTGCTTAACACAGACACCTTGACAGCAAGCCAGCTTTTGTTTTAGTTTGCATCATTTCTTGCAAGTGACAGAACAACACAAGATGCTTGTGTAGGTTTGCCTTTTGCCACCCAAATCTATCATGCTCATCTGCATCATTTGGAATGACATTACTCCCTCTGTGCAGGAAGGCACTTAAAGATGTCAGAACAGCGCTACAGAAAATGCGGCTGCAGAAACAGACAGCTGCTTCCCTTCTCTCCGAGTTACAAGCAGCACAATAGCTGAATATATTGGCACCTTTTAGAGTTCTGTGATTTACACATTTTAAACTTGGGGGGTTTCAATAACCAAATCAAGATGACTTAATCCAGAAGCAAGTCTGCAGTTGTAATAATAGTGGGCGAGCATTGCTTGTGAGAAATCAGAGTCAGGGCATCAAACTAAAGTTCCAGGCTGGATTTTCAACAACCACAACTTGGCAAGAGCTTTTGCAAGAGATGCTTCTGTAAATTCCTGACCACTTGCTAGCAGCACAACAAGCAGCAGTGAATACCTTGCTTCCATGCTGAAATGTACGTGAAACAAAGAGATGCTCAAAAACTGCAGCCACGAAAGGACAGCAGCCCTGCTTACTTGCTGCAGCAGCCACTTCTAAAGCTTTTACTGACAATCTGAAATGGGCTTAGCTGGCACCTAAGCTGTCACTGGCTCCTAGGCCTTACTTCAGTATAAAGTCCATATAAAGTATCTCAATCTTTTATATATGTGGGCAAACAGAGGCCCAAGCTAACAGGATCCACAAACCCCCTAGGTGTTTCCCACCTCCATCAACAAGCTACAACAACAGGGTTATAAATGAAGTGTTCACATTAGACACGCATTGAGAAGTGTGTAAACCAAGGGCAAGTATGTCTAAATCCTGAGGCTGGTTCTTGCTGTCACCACCTGGAAAGAGGTGCTGTAGTGGTAGGCTCAGGAGAAATGAGACTTACCACAGGCTCACTGTCTTTCCTTTTAAATACAGCAGAGAGTAATCCTGCAAATATGCAGAACTTCAGGTATCCAGTTCCATCTATTGAACTGTAAGTAAAAGAGAGAAGCAGGACCCAACAGACAATTACTGTTACATATTTACGCATAAGTATCACAACCATTTCCTTACCATGTAATTTTGTGCAAAACAATGGGTGCTTCCAGACACTTCCCCACTATCCCATGTGACCTGACAGAATTCTGCAGGACTTTTCCTAAACTGGTTTATTTGGTTTTGTCCCATCTCCTGTGTTTCATTTAAACACAGTATTCCAGATTCAGCAAAATTACTTCTCTCTAGACATGCAAGCCTTATTTTCAGTGGCCTTCAACCTATTGTTTCAGTGCCTGTGTTGTAATCTCTCCTGTGATTTAACATAAGTAGAATACATCACAGGCAAACAGAGGTGCATTGCCATCATTAAATTATATATACACACATCACCTATAAGAACTTAATACGGGAGCAACATAAGTACCAGTAACTAAAGGTACATAACCCAGATTAGCGTGAAGACAGGCACTTTGGCGTCACCTCTGGCCCAATCGATTCCATGCAAAGCAGAACAGTGAGAATTTCCTGTCTAGACCCCCTCATGATCTGGTTGGATGCCAGGGGACACCTGGGACAGAAGCAGAGTTCAGATCCTATTAGGAAGAGAAAGGCTGCAGAAGGAGCGAACTGACCATTGAGTGGAGGGTTAGGAGGAGGGTCTACAACTTCTTGGGAGTTGTGAGCAAGAGCTGCTTTAAGCAAGTAATTCCAATAAGTTGAGAGCTGGAGTGGAGCCCAGTTTTATTTAATAGGTGAATCTTAAGATATGACCCTCAGTTCTGCATTTCCAGCTGTCCAGATCAGATCATGCTTTGGTTAACATGATGTATTTTGTAGATGCAATGCTTTAGGCAGCTATGTCTCCCATACAATGTTACTAAATCCCCAGCTCACTGCTCGCAGGCATGGCCAGGAAGCAGCGTGCTAAAGGGTTAGGTTAGAAGCAGCCACTTTCCCAAATAGCACCGATTCCCAGACATTGCACTCACATGCAAAATGAACACTTAAATTGCAGTATTTTTTTTAAATAAAGATAGCCCTGTCCTCCCCCCTTTCATTCCTGGATTGCTCTTTGAGAATTACAGTAACAGGCCAATAAATCACTACAGCTACAGATCTATCATTCAATCTTAACTTCTTTAGTAAGCCTAAGTATTCTACTTACTATAAGGTAATGTAGAAAATTGAACATAATGACCTTTCTGAGGGTCATTATGTTCCATTTTCTACCCATTCACATTTATTACCCATATACAGGGTAAGAATGTGAGCAGAGGACCAGCCACTTACAGTTGCCTTGGGTCAGATTAAGTGCACATCAGAGGGTCAGCCATACTGGAGGTAATAGACAGAGATAAATCGTCCCTTCCCACCT